GTAGCTTTTTTTATTTACATTATTTTAGTACATTTAGAAAAGGAATTGAGTCTAGAGGGATGAAAAAGTGGTTCATCAAAGAGGAAGGCGTTTTCCCACCTGTGAACAAAACGATCTTTAGTCATATGGTTCATTTTATTGGCAAAAAGAGAAAAACAAAAATCATATGAACCATCTTAATATACATCATAAAACGTACCTGAAATTTTTGCTGAAGTTTCTTCATCTTTTCTACAGCTATCCTGGTTTGCTCCAATTCCCAATCATCTATAGCAGCTTCCTTCCTTCTCATCCTACCAAAACGTTTACATGATTATCATTTCATTGCTAGTTCCTCTGTCAATTCACAAACGCACACACCCACAACTTCCACTAAGATTTGATTACCTTTCTGCTTTCATTTTTTCCCATAAAATTTTAGGTTACCTAGAAACTGATGCCTAGTTATAAAATTAGCACATAGACATTTTAGTATAAAAAACCCTTCTTGAACATTGAACTAAAATGAAAACACTAAAATGGTCCTCATGATTTCCCATAGTTTCTTATGTCTGCATTTTCCTTCAAACCCAATGCTAGTCCATGGAGATTGTTAAATTCAAGCAAATAAACAGCCTCTTTTGTCAGATTTAGGTGTACATGTTCTAATTCTATAATTATGTGATGGTTCAAAAGGTTACAATGTGAATAATTCCTGTGATTCTCAAGTGCATAATAACGGCAACCAGGATCTCTTATAGTAAATGCATGTGTTTGGAGTGAAAAGGAAGGAAGAAAAAGAAAAATGGGTAAGCTTCAACTCTTATAGGATCAACAAGTGTAAAGGTGAGACCCATCCTTTCACTTTCTTTTTCTTCACTTCAGTTTATTACAGCCCTAGAAGATCTAAGTTCATATATTCGTTTATTGTACATGCTATCATGCCCATATGAGTATGCAAGAAATCAATATTAAACATAAAACATAAAATTTATAGCAACCAGATCATAAACAGCGCAGTTCATTTTTCATACTCCATATAACCTAATTATCAGTAAACTAATGCAGTTTTCTTTATTTCTTTTAACCCCCTCAATTCATACCTTTCCAACAGTTCAAGATGTCTGGCTCTCTTCCGCGAATCCCTTTCAGCTTCCAGCTTCTGCATTTCTATTTCATTCAAGTAGGTGTTATAAGGTTTGGGCCTGCCCAACAACTTTCTTTGTCCTTGATCTCTTTCAGATTTGCGATGTCCATGTATGCTGTTTATGCAGGCAAGACGACTGTGGCTTTCATACGCAGTACTCTCTTTAACTGAAGGCAGTGTGTTGCTGTAAAGTTCATGATCAAGAAATTTTTTGCACATGGATGAGATACTCAATTTCACTTCTGGGCTTCTTTCATTTTGATCCAAACTATCACCACTATCCTCTGATGAGTGATATCTGGTCATAAAGTTAGTAGGTTTGCAAAATCTGTTTGCGTGCTCTAACCACTCTTCTATTTCACAGTAGCATGAGGAGCAGTGGTTGCTCTCAATGCAGGATTTTCCAAGGTTCTGAGATTTCAATAGTCAAACAGTGTTGATTTCCTCATTATGCAATAAATGTACAAGATAATATGGAACAGGCATCGTGGTAAATCAACAAATTTCATCTTTGGATCTATTAGACATTGAATATATGATATCCACATGCATTATTAGGTCCAACATTCAAGTGAAATCTATTATTACTCAAGCGATCATACACGCAGTATATTCATTTTCAAAATGAACATTTTTCGAGAGCAAATTGAGTTATCAGCTTCCACGTATTCCATAGTAATCCCAGGAAAGAACCATGATCTTGCTGGATATTAAAACGGGGAATTCAGGTTTGGTAACCAAAACTTAACTTAGAATTGCTGATAACTTTAAAAGAGTTGTAAATAAAAAGTTTTCAAAAATAAAATATCATATCAGTTCAAGCAGAGTGCATTAGTTAGTTAACTTATCATGATATACATTTGTTCTTAAATGGAATCGAGAGACATTCGTTTAGGCAAGATTCTTGCTGCTCCATATATGGCTGTTAACTAATTCAAGAGCACTTACTTCTTCAGGGTCAAGAAACACGAACAAAGCTCTAAACATTATACTTCTAACAAAATCCACTTATAAAACCAAGAACAGGTAATAAAATACCAAAAAGGCAACGAATTTAGAGAACCAAAAAAGATCCATCTCCATGGCATCGTAGAAACGCACAAGCAGATCTAACTAATCAGAGTAAATAAACTATGAAAAGACACCGAAAAGGGAAAGTAATCATTAGCTGAAACGACAGAAATTGATTCAACGTCTGGAGCATGTCTTTTCTTGGGTTAGGAGTAATCATTGTACCTGGTTTCTTGGGGAGGGAAATTGGGAGGCAATGTCGGAGTAGAACGTGTCTGAGTCCGAAGATGAAAGTTGAAACGGGTGGATGCAAATCGGCGAGGGAGATTCAGGAAGAAGGGGCACGAGTTGTCCGGCATAGCCATCTTGATGCAGAATTCTTCTGGTGAAGGGCCTTGATGAAGAACGAAAAGGTAAAGGGGATTCGGATAGGTTGAGAACCCTATGGTTGTTGAAGTTGTGAGGAGCGAAATCTTGAAGGTGAGCTTTCTGGTGTTTGGTTTCTTGCATTTCAATCCGTGGCTCTGAGCATTCTCCTCTGCTCGCGAGCACTCTGTAAGTCTGTATCTTAACGGGAGCAGCAAGGCGCCCAGAGAGGCTGGCTATAGTATTCTTTTCAAAGAAAAACTTTTTGGTAAATGTTTTTTAAATCTATTTCTTTTTGAATTCACTCTAAAAAATCTCGAGAGATATGTTTTTTATTTTCTTAAAAACACATATTTACCCATTAAAATTTGTTATTTTTCTTAATTTAATCAACAAGAATATTCATATATTTTTTAAGGAAAAATGACAAAAAAATTAAAATTTAAGAAAAATAATAAAAATATCTTTTTTTTTAAAGAAAAAATTTCCACCCTCTGCCAGAAGCTCGCCACCCTCAGAGGCTACTGGGCTGTGATTTATTCGCTTTATAATGCCAAGAAAAAAAAGTTAATTCCTTTACTTTGGGTTAACATGAAGTAACATGTAAGTTAATTACAAATAACAATTTATCTAAAAATAATAAGTTTTAATTGAAAATTTACAGGTTAAACCGTGATATTAACAAAGTGTTTTTTCTTGTTACATGAGAGGAAATAACATGTGAATTAATTAAAAATTATAAGAATTTATATAGAAATTATAAATTTGATTGGAAAATAATAAGTCTAAACTTAAAATTAACAATGTGTTTTTTTTTCTGATACATAATATATGAAAAATGACAGTGTCATTTTTTGCAATCAAGACTTATCATATCCAAATAAATTGTTGTCATTTTTAATTGATTCACATGTTATTTTACGTTAAATCAGAATAAAAGAATTGACTTATATTTCTTTTTATACTATAAATTTAACAAATTATTGGTAGCCCAATAATCACCTAATCTTTTGTTGGCCCAAATGACTATAATCAAACTTCACCCTACCACTTTCCTCAAATAAATTTTCATGACAAAAACAAATTCGGCCACATTTTCTTTTTCTCCAAAGCCTTCAAATCCTCTTTGCACACATTACATCGATAAAAATTACTGTCTAGATCATTCTTTTCTTCTTCTTTCTTTTTCCCTTGTGTTATAAAGAGAATGGACAATATTATTATTTTTAATTAACTAGCTCTTATATTAAAAAAAAATTAACTAGCTCTTATATTAAAGACTAAATGTAGTATTACAATGTTAAAAAAAGATAACATTTTCAAAAATATTTTTTTTGCTTTTCATGGAACCATGATTTAAGGTCAAACCGCATTGTTAGAGCCAAACCATAGTTTTATAAAAATGTGGGGTGTTTAGTAATTTTTTAGGTGAAACTATGATTTCGGTTCCAAAAATAATTTTGACAGGTTTGTCAAAACATGGGGTCTTGTTTATTTCAGCTAGTTTGGCCTAGACTTGGTTTCTGTTTGGAGTTTTTCTTCTCAAGATTGTCACAGAACTTGTGTGTCTCTATATGCATAATTGTAGATTGCCAATATGATTAATATATATTTAAAAATATTTTGAAACATTAAATATTTTAAGATTAATAATATCTTTAGATTTTAACTTTGACCTTGTTTTAATTTTGATTCTGAAATTTGATTTTGATCTGGCTAAAAATTTCTGGCTTGATAATAGTGGCTTTGGTATTTAAAACTTTCAAAATCATTTGTTTTAAATTTCAAACTAAAATAAAAATGAAGTCAAATTTTAAAAATTGAGGATAATATTAACCAACATTTTTATTTGGAAATTGCTGCTCTTTGGTGGTCTTATGTCACAATTTTTATCTAGCCTTATTTCATGTACATATTAAAGAAGTGCAAAGTTGCAGCGTCATGTTCTTTTCTAATTATATCCAGCATACTAATTTTATTTAAAGTTATTTGACCAGAAAATTTTTATTTAGAGTTAATATAATCTTTGGTCTTTACAGCTTGTCCTTATTTTGGTTTTAGTCCCTTAAATTTCAAATCATAGGTTTAGGTCCCTCAAAAAGCAAAATAGTCTAAGTTTTTATTGGATTATAAGGATTAATTTTTAAATAAAAAGAAACTTGAGAGATCAAAACTTATGATTTGAAATTTGAGGAACCAAAACAAAAATTAAGATAAAATTAAAGGATCAAAATTTGTATCAACCCTTTTTATTTATGATGTATCCATTATCCTAATTCTCTTTTGGTTCTAAATGTAAGACCTTACAAAAATGGATCTTATATTTAAAATCGAATGAGTATTATTTTTTTTAATGTTTCTAGTATCTTAATTTTATTTATAATGCATAATCGCTTTAAATCATAAATAAAAATAGAATGTTGGGTGCAATTGAATTGGATGTATCATGAATAAAATTAAAATGCTAAATACTGGTGAGAAATAATATTAGAGTGCTATGCAGTATGCAATGACTTACCCATTAAAAATGATAATTGGATTAATACTATTATTATTTCTGCATAGAAAGTATGTAAGTGATTTTAAAAATAATTTTATAATATATAAAATAGGTGTGAGAAGAGTTTTGTTTTCACTAACATAAAATAACATGCCCATTAAAAATGATTAAAAAACTGGATTAATACTATTATCCTTTGGAGAAATTACAATAACATCCCATCCTAAAGAATTAAATATAAAAAAAATCTCTTAAAATTATCAAATTATTATCAAGTTCATTGTAATAATTCTTATTTATTTAATTATCTAATTGCTCTTGTTTTTTTAAGTATGTATTAACAACTAGAAGAGTAGTTGTTAATAACTTAAAATATAACGATTAACAACTATCACTGTAGATATTGATAACACATTTTTCTCAGTATATCACAAAAGTGTAATGTATGAGTTGTCAATATCTATCTTCATACTCCCTCCGGTTCAAAATATAAACTAAACTTTATCCATTACGTTTATCAAGAAACTAATTAAAATTAATTTAAAATTTTTACCAAAAGAAATCAATTTAACACAATAAATGTGTAAGGTATATATTTGTTTTTCCTAATATACCCTTATTAATGAAGAGAATAAGTAAAAGATGTAATAAATGAATTAAAGAGTGAGAGAATATATGGGAATGAAATTAAAAAAAATCTTATTAAATGCTTGGACGAAAGTGAATGTTATCTTATAAAAAAAATGACCATTTTAAAAAAGTTTAGCTTATATTTTGAAACAGAAGGAGTAGTTGTTAATTATTACATCTTAAATTATTAACAACTACATTTTTAATTGTCAATTCATATTTAAAAAGTAAAGATAAGGATAATTTAATAATTAAATAAATGAAATTTTTTTAGATTTTAGAATAATTTAATAATTTTAAAAGAGTTTTTATATTTAATTCTACCTTGTTACAATTTTCTTTTATTACCGAACACCGGTTTTAGGGGTTTAAGTAATCCAACGGTCCACAATTAATCTTCCTGTCCTCTACGATACATAAGATAGCAGACAAGATAGAGCGAAAGAAGCCGGGGACAGAGCTGGAGCTGGTAAAGAGGAAGCGAGGTTGGGAGAAGAAAGCGAAATACAGGCAGAACGGAGAACTGAACATTCTACTCCGGAGAAACCCGAACCGGTAATAGCTTCAGATCTTCTCCTTTCCCCTTCAATTCCATGAATCCTGTCTCTCAATTCATTGTTATTGCTAACTCCGATTAAAATTGAGGCCAAAAACTTTGTCGGATTAAACTTCAATTTGTAGAGTGAGCCCTTTGGTAGTGCTTATCAACAATGGCTTCGTAGCTTGTTGGGCGATTTGGTTCTTGTGTGTTCAGTGGGCTGCATTTGGTCATTGCCCCTGTTTTTTCCCTGTTCTTTCTTAGTTTCTGCTGTTGTTTGTTATTCTCTTCTGCTGCTGCTTTCCTCCCTTTACTTCAGTGCAACATTGATATCACAGAAAAACAAGAAAAAACTTCTCTTCGTTGCAACGTTGTTATTCTCTGCTTCTGATTTCTTCCATATATTGCGTCTCAAGTTTATCTTTCTTCGTAATGATTTTGAGGGAAAAAGCGTGTGATGATGCGTTGATGGTGGTTTTTTCTTTTTTTTGGAGGGGGGGGGGTGTTAGTGAAGGAATGGGCTATGGACTTGAAGGGTTATATATATATGGTTAACAGATTTAGGTGAATAGTCAAAGAAAAGCAAATTAATTTTTTTGAAATATTTTTATTAAATCAAAGCTAGGCAATAATAATTGACCTTAAAGGAAATCAAAATAATTAAAGTTAATTTTATTAATAACTGAAAGAAAATTTTGTTGCTGAGTATATGCAGTTTAACTCAGTCGTACTATTGTTAATATTACACGACATTGTAAGGCTCATGTTCCTTTTAGTAATGGTACAGCTAAAAAAGTTTTTGACAAAAATGTATCATCCTAACATGTTTAATCTGTCAAAATCACTCTTAATGTAAAACCATCCAAACAAAAGTTCAAATCTACCCATATTCTATTTTGCAAATGCTAATCTAAACACACTATTAATTGGTTGTGATGTGCTGTTTGAGTTTTAAATTGCGTCATATCATCACTTTCTTCATGTTGTCCCTCGGCCTAATTTCTGCAATGGGATTTGGGGGAGTTAATTTAATAGGAGAGTAAAGCTTGATCATTGTTATATGCATATATAAATACATATACATATGTGCTTCTTTGCGTGTAAGCAGTGATTGAGGCAAACTGCATGCGAGAGGGTTGGAACTATTTGAGTTACTGAGAGTTCGTTAGTAAGTGTCTTTTTATTCGCTTTATAGATACAATGTATGCTTTCTGTTATTCTCCAATTCACTCGCTCCTCGACAATATATGCCTTTGTCATATGGCCATGAACGTAGAAATGTTGATTGATACTTGCTATCTAATTGCAGCAATGCCAATTCCTGAAATAGCTGATAAGGTTTCTTTGAATCGTTGATGAGATTTCATACATAATATGTTCTTTCCTTTTTTTTTCTTTTTCTTTTTAAATTGTCCTTTGTGAATAACATGCTAAACTATGGGAATTTTATATCTTGACTCTCCCACTAACCCATTTTTTCCATGAAGGTCTGTGGAAGAATGACGTGATTTTATAATATCTAACGTCAAAGATGATGATGAGTAGTGTCCAACTGTGGTGGAACCAAGGACCAAAGCTTGGAGTTATGGTAGAATGTGCGCTAACAAAACAAGGTCAGCATTTTCTAAAGAAGGTGGTGACATCTGGAGACCCATCGACCACAAACAATTTGATTAGGAGATTCGTACAAAATTCACCTAAATCAGTGTCTCTCAGCACTCTTTGCCATCTCCTCTCTCCTTCTACAGTACAACCCCTTCTCTCCTCAGTTGCCTTCCCGGTTAGTACTTTACTCTTTATCTCTCTCCTTGAATTGATTGTTAGAGTCTCTAATGTTTTTGCAAATTTTGCAGCTTTATGCAAGAATTGCTGAAGCACCTTGGTACAGTTGGAACTCTAAGATTGTAGCTGAGCTTGCTGCTTTGCTGGATAAGCAGGAACAATATTCAGCCTGGGAAACTCTAATTTCGGAAGCCACTTCCAAATTAGAGTCTGGCTCTCGAGATCTGGCTCTTTTCTATTGTAAATTGTTGGAGTGTCACTCCAAGCAAAGTTCAGAAAGAGGGTTTGAGATTGCTTATTTGTACCTAAGCCAGCTTCTTCATAGTTCATCATCCTCTATTTACATAAAACGTCGTGTTTATGAATATATGGTCAGTGGTTTATGTTCAATGGATAGGCCTTGTGAGGCCGAGAATTTGGTTGAGAATATGAGAATCAAAGCACTTGAACCTTCAGCGTTTGAATTCAAGTCTATCATGTATGGTTATGGAAGATTGGGATTATTCCAAGACTTGGAGAGACTTTTGGTTCAAATGGAAAAAGAAGGGTTTGTCATTGATACAGTTTGTTCAAACATGGTTCTTTCAGCGTACGGAATGCACGGTGAGCTAACGAAGATGGTTTCATGGCTTCAAAGGATGAGGAATGCATCGATTCCGTTCTCAAAAAGGACGTATAATTCTGTTTTGAATTCATGTCCTGTTCTCATGAGAAAATTGGTGGACTTGAATGGCTTCCCATTGTCAATTGAAGAGTTGAATGCTATTCTGGAAGGAGATGAAGCTATGGTGGTTGGAGAGCTAATCAGGTCAACCGAGATTCTAGAAGAGGTCATGGTTTGGGACTCTAAGCAGGCAAAGCTGGATTTACATGGACTGCATTTGGGTTCATCCTATCTAATTATGTTACTTTGGTTGCAAGAAATGCGACAAAGGCTGAACGATCCAGGTTACGCGATTCCTGCGGAAATTGTTGTTGTGTGTGGTTCAGGGAAGCATAGCAGTCTCAGGGGACAATCTCCTGTGAAAACGTTGGTGAAAGAGATGATGGTGAAGATGAAGAGTCCTCTGAGAATTGATGATAGGAAGAACAATGGTTGTTTTGTTGCTAAGGGTAAAGCTATGAGAGATTGGTTGTGTTTGGGACACGAATTAAACAAATAGAATATGCAAGATCATAATGGGGCCATCGTTGCCTAACCGTTAGTTAACCATGCTCGCTCCTACATGCATGCTCTCAAATTGGATTCTTTCTTTGGCTTTTGCACGTGCCAGAGAGGGGGATTATATCAGATTTATTCCGGGAGATTAATAAGTTAAAAGGAAAAAATACCTGTAATATACGTAATTCATTACTTTTTGGTCGTTATCTGTATCTTAAATCAAATTTATTTGTTTTTATTTTGTAGTTTAATATCTTGATACTAATTTTATGAAATAACAAAGGAAAAATTAAGATGAGGTCTAAAAAAATATGATTATCAAAAAGTTTTAATGACAAATTAAATTGTTATTTTGTACTAAACTTGTCATTATATGTTGTTCTGTTGTTATTGAGATTATTTTTTATAACTATATTCTATTCTTAAACTAACTCTGCCTATATAGTATAGCTGTTCTCCAAGCTGGATAAGAAATTTTTTAATAAATTTTTTTAATTTCAATCTCAATTTTTACTCCTCATTTTTAATACTTCACACATAGTTTGTATTTGTGGTTTTCCTTCTCTAGATTGTTGTAGAACTTGTATCTCTATATGTATAATTGTGTATTGCCAATGAATGACTTTTCGATGGTCTGAGATATGATTGATATATATTTAAAAATATTTGAAACATTAAATATTTTAAGATTAACACTATTTTTAGTTTTTAACTTTGACGTTGTTTTGATTTTGATCCTGAAATTTAATTTAATTTTGATTTGTTTAAACATTTTTTACTTGATAATAGTGTCTTTGATCCTTAAAACCTTTAAAATCATTTGTTTCTAATTTCAAACTAAAATCAACATGAAGTCAAATTTTAAAAATTAAAGATAATATTATCCAACATTTTTATTTGGAAATTGCTGCTCTTTGGTGGTCGTATGTCACGTTTTTATCGAGCCTTATTTCATGTATATATTAATATTAAAGAAGTGTAAAGTTCCAGCGTCATATTCTTTTTTAATTATATATAGTGCGCTAATCTTATTTATGATGTATCTGTTATTCTAATCCCCCTAACTCTTATATTTAAAATCAGAAGAGTATTATTTTCTATACTACTTCTAGTACGTTAATTTTATTTATAATACATCATAAATAAATTAGAATGTTGAGTGTAATTGGAGTGGATAAATCATAAATAAGATTAGAATGCTAAATAGTACTGAGAAATAACATTAGGACTTACCAATTAAAAATGATAAAAAAAATTGGATTAATACTATTATTATTTTTTTACTATATAAAAAGTAAGTGTGTATGTGATTTTAAAAGTAGTTTCATAATATATAAAATACGTGTAAAAAATTTTTTGTTTTGATTTGCATAAAATACGACACCTATTAAAAATAATACAAAAATTGGATTATTATAAGTATGTATGTAATTTTAAAAATAATTTTATAGATAAAATATGAAATCAGTGTGAGAAGAGTTATATTTTGATTTATATGAAAATAAATACTATTTCTACTCTTAATATAGGATTTAATTATTGAGTTAATTTAGTGTTAAATATAACACATATTTCTCATATTTATCAATTTTTTTTTTAAATTACCTCTATAGATACACCTTTTACCATAATCAAATAGAAGAGGAAACTAAGATATCAAGGAAGATGACTATGATATTTTAAAAAAAATGTTATAATTCTTATAATTAACTAACTTATCTAATTTTTTTGATCTAATTAAATTAGTTAAATAGGTCTTATATTAAGAATAAGAAGAGTATTTTTTTAAGTAATTTTGGGCATCCCGAACAACCGTCCTGAGGCCACAGGCTTTGCCCATGGGGGGTTATCCATCGGTTCGCAATCAACGTTCCTGTCTTTTACGTTACATAAAAAGAACAGATAAGATAGAGCGAAAGATGCAGGGGACAGAGCTGGAGCCGAGTCGAGAGAAAGCAAGGTTGGGAGAAGAAAGCGAAATAGAGGCAGAACAGAGGGCTCGACATTCGTCTCCGGAGAAACCCGAACAGGTAATAGCTTCAGATCTTCTCCTTTCCCCTTGAATTCAATGAATCCTATCGCTCAATTCATTGTTATATCTAACTCCGATTAAAATTGAGGCCACAAAATTTGTCGGATTAAACTTCAATTTGTAGAGTGAGCCCTTTGGTTGTGCTTATCAACAATGGCTTCGTAGCTTGTTCGGCGATTTGCTTCTTATGTGTTCTGTGGGTTGCATTTGGTCATGGCCCCTGTTTTTTTCCCCTGTTCTTTCTTAGTTTCTGCTTTTGTTTGTTATTCTCTTCTGCTTCTGCTTTCCTCCCTTTAAATCGGCGCACCATTGATATCACAGAAAAACAAGAAAAACTTCTCTTCGTTGCAACATTGTTATTCTCTGCTTCTGATTTCTTCCATATATTGCGTGTTAAGTTTATCTTTATTCGGAATGACTTTGAGGGAAAAAGCGTGTGATGACGCGATGGTGGTGTTTTTTTTCTTCTTTTTTTTGGGGGGGGGGTTAGTGAAGGAATGGGCTATGGACTTGTAGGGTTATACATATGGTTATCAGATATAGGTGAATAGTCCAGAAAAGCAAATTAATTTTTTTGACATACTTTTATTAAATTAAAGCTAGGCATTAATCATTAACCTTAAAAGAAATCAAAATAATTAAAGTTAATTTTATTAATAACTGGAAGAAAATTTGTTGTTGAGTATTGGCAGTTTGACTGTGGTACTATTGTTAATATTACACGACATTGTAACATGTTTAATCTGTCAAAATCACTCTTAATGTGAAACAATCCAACCATAAGTTCAAATCTACCCATATTCTATTTTGCAATGCTAATCTAAACACTGTTAATTGGTTGTGATGTGCTGTTTGAGTTTTAAATTGCGCCACCTAATTTCTGCAATGGGACTTGGGGGAGTTAATTTAATAAGAGAGTAAAGTTTGATCACAGTTATATGCATATATAAATGCATATATACATGTGCTTCTTTGCGTGTAAGCAGTGATTGAGGCAAACTACACGCGAGAGGGTTGGAACTATTTGAGTTACTGAGAGTTCGTTAGTAAGTGTCTTTTTATTCACTTTGCAGATACAATGTATGCTTTCCGTTATTCTCCAATTCACTCGCTCCTTGACAATATATGCCTTTGTCATGTGGCCATGAGCGTAGAAATGTTGATTGATACTTGCTATCTAATTGGAGCAATGCCAATTCAAAACTTTAATGTCATTGTATTTCTTTTATTTTATTTATAAGATTGATTTCAGATATATATATATATATATATATTTGGTTTTAGAAGGAGATTTTGCTCCCAAAAAAAAATAGTGTGTTGTGGCGGCTTCCCACTTGCAGATCTCACTGACGTCCCGATTATTAAAAACGAGTAAAAAAAAAGGGTAAGGGCTAGTGGGTCAGACCAGAGTCAAACCGGGGTCAAACCGGTAAGAAATAAAAAAATAAAAACATAATTTAAATTTTCATTAAAAACTATATACTCCTCCGGTCCTAATTATAAGACCCAATTGACTTATTTGAGGGGATTAAGGAAGTAAGTTAAGTTGGTTATTTATAATAAATAAGTGTTGTTATTCTTAAAATATCCTTGCTAATTAAGTATATTGGCTAAAACTATCATTATTAGAAGGATTATCTTGGGAAAAAATGCATAAATATAAAAGAAAAAATGGATTGGGTCTTATAATTAGGACCAAATAAAAAGTCAAATTGGGTCTTATAATAAGGACCGGAGGAGTATCATATTAATATCTTGAATTACTAGTAAAATAATCACATCCTTACAATTTCTTATAACATCGTACTATTAAAATCACTAAATATTCATCATAACAATATATCAAAATAGATATATGATAACAAAATATTCCTCCCTATAATTATGCAATCACTAAATCCTAATTATTAACAACTTTTTAAAAAAATAATCAAAATGTTGTTTTTTTTTTATAAAAGGGACCTGGGTTAAGCCACCAAACTGGGCGAGTTACTTAGGTCATCACGGTTCACCGCCGGTTTAGTCTGGGTCGCACTGGGTCATAGTGACCCTGGCCTACCTGCCTAACTGGACCAGTTTACCTGCCAGTTCACTGGTTTCCGGTCTGAACCGGCCAGTCCTATCTAGTTTTCCATACCATGTTTAAAATATCTATTTGAAATACCTAGATTCTAATTTGGATTATTCATTTGGTACTCCTTTTGTCTTTAATGTAGGGCCTACTTATTAAGTTGATTTTGATCTTAAATATGAGACCTATTTCTCATATTTATCAATTTTTTCTAAATTACCTTTATAGATACTCCCTCAATCATAATCAAGTAGAAGAGGGATGGAAGATATTAAGGAAGATGATTATGGTGTTTTAAAAAAAAACATGTCACATTTCTTATAATTAACTAACTTACCTAACTTTTTTAGTCTAATCAAATTAGTTAAATAGGTTTTATATTAAGGACCGGAGGAGTATTACCTAGGCTGGAATTTATAAATTAGGTCAAATTATTTCTTTACGCCGGAGTTATTATAAACGCAAAACTGTAAGTGTGCAAGTTTTTGGTAACACTTTTATTTTGAAATATCTATCTATTTAGGTCTTGTAAATATAAAACTTGAACTTGTTAATTTTAAAATGTGCATTGTCCTTGAGTTACAAGATATTATTCATGTGGGTAAGTTAAGTTGTACAAATTTAGTCGTATATTGTAAGTATTTAATGTCGAATACTATCAAGGAACAAATTAAACAAACTTAATCAATACTCTTTCGGTTCTTAATATAGAATCTAATTGTTAAGTTGATTTTGGTTCTAAATATATAACATATTTCTCATATTTATCAATGTTTTTTAAATTATCCTTATGAATACTCTCTCAACCATAATCAAGTAGAAAGAGGGAGAATATTAAAGAAGATGATTATGGTATTTTAATAAAAACATGTTATATTTTTTATAATTAACTAACTTACCTAACTTTATTAATCTAATCAAATTCGTTAAATAGGTTATATATTAAGGATATGAGAAGTATATTTCTTCGATCATAAATTTAAGACTCATATATTTAAGACCGGAAAAGCATATAGTGACCATCTCTTTATATCCTCTTTACAGATCACTACCTCTTTCTATTTATCTTATTAACCTTACTAATTCTATTACCATATATCACCCACTAGTAGAATCTTTTTTAATTTGTTAAAATGGGCTTTTAATAAGACCTTACCTAAAATTGGTTTAAAAGTTTTGACGCTTCCTAGACCGGATGAACAACCAGTTCAGGAAAGTTTTTTCCTTACTGATAGGGTAAGAACCAATCAAGAAAGTAAAGCATAGAAAAGAGATAGAGACAAGAGATTAAAAAAACCTTCTTATATTCATTTACTTACCTTATAACACAAATGACATGTCTTATTTATCTATAGTTATGATATTACATATAGGCTCCATTCATATTTAAGTGACAAATAATAGGCAATAAAGTTTATAAATGTGAGTGAGAGGTAACTTACGAAATTTTAAAAAAAAAATAGTGAAGGAGTAATAAAGTACCGAAATATGAAAAGAAAGGGGAAGATGGATATCCACAAATTATAGTAATCATAACAACAGAGATGCTTTGAATTTTTTTGGCCAAAAGATATTTTGAATCTGACGGTCATAGTCTTCATCAAAGTAACTATCTAACCGAATGATCCACAATCAACTTTCCTGTTCAAATGTTACCAGAAAAACAGATAAGATAAAGCAAAAGACACAGAAGACAGGGATGCCGTGAGGGAGAATTTGAGAAAAGGGAATAAAACTAAATAGTGCAGAATGGAGGACTCAACATTCAACTGCAAAGACACTTGAACCGATAATGGCTTTGCTTAACTCTCATCAGTTCTTCATATTCATTCCGTATCACTCTTGCTCCTTATACAATATAGGCCTCGATTTGAAATTCTATAATGTAGCTGATAATTTTTTCCCTACTTGTCCCTTGTTTCCTAAAATGCCATACATGAGAATACACAAAAATGAGCCAGTCATTTTTTTTTTTGTGTGTGGAAAACGTTGACTTTTTGTTGCTCGTTAAAGTTACCTCAAAGTAGAAAATATGCAGTGATGCTTTATACTTAGCTATATCTTTGAGAAAACTGATGATTGAGATCAGGAAAAGAGCAGGTACTTGGTTTTACCTCATTGCAGGAATAAATGTGGATTTATAATATAAGGTTTCTTATACGTTCCAGGGCTTGAATTTGGAGCTCAAGGTTTGGAATCTCACAATAAGAATTAGAAGCTCGATTTTGGAGCTTAGTTTTATATTCAGATATGGTTTTGAAGTCAATCATTTTCAGGAGATAAAGTAGTTCTAATCTGATATGTCCATATGCCAATTTGAGCCATTAAAAGAAGTTCTAAGTCAATGATCTTCTCGACAACACAACTGACGTAGCTCATCAACTTTCCATTTATTGATGGTTTTGTGTGTCAATTCACTCCAGCCATGGAGTTCAATCACCCCAACTCTCGTCTTGTTTCAGAAATGCAAAACCATGGATGACATGAATCAGATGCATGCAAGAATGATCACAACTGGGCTAATCAACAACTCATCTCTCACTACCAAACTCATCCTCACTTTTGTTTCTTCACCCTATGAGCCTCTTGTTGAGTTCGCTCGCCACATCTTCTTCAAGCATCATGCTAATCGTAATCCTCGAGAACAAGAGGACCCTTTTCTCTGGAATGCCATACTCAGGTCCTACTCTCATGGTTGTTCGCCCAGAGGAGCTCTGGCAATACTTTGTTTGATGCTTGAACTGGGGGTTTGTTTGGATAAGTTCTCATTTTCTCTGGTTTTGAAAGCGTGCTCTCGAGTGGGTTTGATGAAAGAAGGAATGCAGATCCATGGATTATTGTATAAACTGCAAATTGAGTCTGATACATATTTGAAAAATTGCTTGATTAGTTGTTTTCTAAGAATTGGGTGCGTTCAACATGCCTGTCAATTGTTTGACAGAATGTCTTGTCATGATTCTGTCTCATATAACTCAATGATTGATGGGTATGTCAAATATGGGATGGTTGGAAAAGCCCGTGAATTGTTTGACAATATGCCTCTAAAGAAGCAGAATCTAATTACTTGGAACTCAATGATCGGAGGATATGTGAGATACAAAGATGGATTGAATTGTGCCTGGAATTTGTTTCTTAAAATGCCCAAGAGAGACTTAGTTTCATGGAACACAATGATTGATGGATGTGTAAAGTTTGGTAATATAGAAGATGCTCAAACGTTGTTTAACAAGATGCCTAAAAGAGATTTGGTCACTTGGACAACTATGATTGATGGTTATATGAAATCAGGTAATGCCCTTGTTGCAAGGAGATTGTTTGATGGAATGCCCGAGAGAAACACTATTTCTTGTAACACCATGATGGCTGGCTATGTTCAGAATGGTTATTGCATTGAAGCTTTGAAGCTATTTCATGATATGAGAATAAAAGCACATACACAACCAGATGATACCACCTTGTTGATTGTTCTTACAGCCATCACCCAATTAGGACACGTTGAAGTTGGAGCTCTCATACACCGATATTTAGAGAATAACAATAGTAAATATTTGAGTGGTAAACTTGGTGTTGCTCTAATTGACATGTATTCCAAGTGTGGTAGCATAGAGAATGCTATCTTAGTATTTAAGAATATTGATCAGAAATGTGTCGATCATTGGAATGCTATGATTGGTGGCTTAGCTATTCATGGTATGGGTGAAATGGCTATCAATTTTCTCTTCCAGATGGTAAAGGATTCTGTTAAACCGGATGATATCACATTCATTGGTGTGTTGAGTGCTTGTGGCCATGCTGGTTTACTGAAGGAGGGATTGATATGTTTTGAGCTAATGCAAAGAGTATACAAGGTTGAACCTAAGGTGCAACACTACGGTTGCATGGTAGACATCCTTTGTCGAGCTGGGCATGTTGAAGCTGCCAAAAAACTCGTCGAGGTAATGCCTATCAAACCAAACGATGTCATTTGGAGGACTTTGCTTAGTGGTTGTCAAATCCATAAGAACTTCTTAGTGGGAAAGCCAGTTACTGAGGAATTGATCAAGCTAAACTCTTTCAGTCCAAGCTCCTACGTGCTCCTATCTAATGTTTATGCTAGTGTGGGCATGTGGGACAATGTGAAAATGGTTAGGACAGTAATGAAAGAGAGAAACCTAAAGAAAATACCAGGCTGCAGTTGGATTGAATTGGAGGGAGTCATTCATCAGTTCTCTGTACAAGACAAGTCACATTCTCAAGTTAAAGAGATTTATTCCATGTTAAGTGGTTTGTAAATTCCCATTTAGAAAGAGATAGTTGCATGCAACATCTATGTTTCTATGTTAAGTAATTTGTAAATTCCCATTAAGTCTAGTTTCTTGCTGTGAAGTTTGTCAACTAAACGATTAGTTGGTAGATATCTTTACCAACTCTCACAAGGGTCCTTAGCTTTGATACGTACGTAACATGCTTGATGCATATGATTTATGTGCCCTATCTTGAGGGGGATTGTTAGAATATATGCAGATATTGTAATTGATAGATGGTCTATATATAAGCCAATTGGATCCTTCTTCAATGCAATCTGCAAAAATCATCCACTCTATTTCACATTTTGTATTGTCTAGTGTTTGTCAGTGGAAATGTGTTCCTGCAAATGTGATTGCATCATTCCTTTGTTTTAAGTCTTGAATGAGAATAGTGAAAAGTGGGTTTGTTTGCCAAACTAGTCTTGGAATTTTCAATTCCAAAATACTGCTATATGATTCATTTTACTTTCTTCATAACTTCTTTGGTATATATACAAATATTTCTTTACATTTTTTCACTTTGACAGGGGTGTGTATGTGTGCATTACTTTTATGTGTCTGTGTGGTAGGCTAACTAATAATTAGGAAAAGTGAAGGTGAAGAAAATCCCATGGATTGCAACTGTTAGTTAAGTCTATATTGTTTTCATTTTTTTAATTTGGCATTTGAATTGCTTAACAAAATCAAGAAAAAAGGGAATTAGAATTAGAATGAGGAAGTGCTACGTATTTTTCCACTTGTTTTCAAGCATTTATTTATTTTAGGTAAAACTACCCCTAGGTCCTAGACAAAAAACTGAATGTTCAAGCTTTTAAGGAATTAAATTATACTAGCTCCAATCCTTAGTATAAAACCTAGTTGACTAATTTGAGGAGATTAAAAAATTATTTAAGTTAGTTATTTATAATAAATAGGTGTTGACTTTCCTAGAATACCTTTGTTAATTATGTGTATTAGCTAAAATTATCATTTGATGAAATCTTTAACATGTGCAATCACTACAACTCTACAAGGACTACTTTAAATAAATAAATAAATATAAAAGACAAAATATATTGAGGTCTTATATTAAGAGCAAATTAAAAGTCAACATAACTCTTATATTAAGGATCGGAGGTAGTATAAAAATTAGTGTTGTTATTTGAAAGAATTGAATATTCAGGGAGTTTGAGTTGCAGTTTATTAACTGTATGGTTTATAAAATTAATAGTCTAAGTAATTGACTTTCTTTGGGAAGTATCATAGCACAACATTCTTATTAAATTAAAAGGGTGCATAGCTATACATGACTAAGCATATAATATTTGTGACTATTTACCCTTTAATTAAGACTAAGATAATTTTATGTTTTAAAAATTGTCATTTGATAAGTTGATGTCAATGTTAATTATGTAAAATGTTTGTAATGTATTGTTTTTAATTTTTACTTACTCTTTTGAGTGTGGTTAAACATGATGTTGGCTTATGATTGCTTTTGAAATTTTGGATTATTATTTATTAATTTAAAAATTAAATTAAATTAAGGTTAAAAAAAATGGTAGGTTAGCCTGCCAATCCAACAACCTGTCATGGTGGGTTAGGATTAGTATTTTGTTAACCTACCAAGGAACGGGTTACTTTAACTCGTACTGTATAACTTGTAGGTTGTGACAGGACTGATCCGTATTCCCAACCCTCAACTCTACTTTTGTATTTATATATAGGAATAAATTCATGAAATCAAAAAATGGATAGTGTTTCAGTCTACTACAAGACCCAATTTCATTATGTATTAGAATTGAACCCTTTTAAGCTTCATAATCTAATCCAGAAATTGCAAATGATTAGCAAATCGAAGCCCCCAAATTGTGAACTTGTCCTTGCTAAAGTTTGGGTCGTCATAGTTTTAGGCCCAAGTTTATGGCCCATTTTCACAGTCCAAGGCTCCAAGCGTGAGATTTAGATTGTAAATTTCATTTGAAATATTTATTAAATAATGGTTGTTTCAGAAGTTAAATATTAATTTATTTTAAAAAGTTAAGTGTTCCTAATATATTTATCTTCTTCGTTAATATTCTCAACATTACGTGTACTTCACAAATTCAAAACATTTTATAGTACTGAGAAAAATTAAATTTCAATTTAAAGAATAAGAGTAATAGATAATAAATAATTATTGTAATTTTTCAAATAAATTTTAAGTATAGAAAATTTAAAATTAGTATCACCATTTCATACAAGTTTGAAAGTGAGTTTACTAAACTATTATAATCTATATTATCTATATATAACAGTAGAATCACATGCTTTTGTTAGTAAATGACGTGTCCATTTCTTTTATGGCTATTTTCAGTTCTAGTTTCTGTTCTTCTTCTATTATTGCACTTTTTTTTCTTCTTTTTTTCTTTTACCATGAATCATAATTCATGATGCTACCACGAGAATAACATGTACAAAGAAGATGCCAAAACAGCAATGACAGCAAAATAACGACAGAGATTCAGAAAATTCAAAACGATAGAAAACTAGAAATACTAACTGTATGCAAATAAATCAAACGCTATCTGCTTCTATTATAACTTGTAGGAGGTCATGCTCTTCATAGATTAAGTTAGCTTTCCTTAATGCCATTAATTCTGAGATGAATGTTGAGCGTGCTTCTACTCCTTCCCCATATGCCCATAACAAACGACCAGTGTGGTTGCGACTCGTGACATACTAGCCCAATAGCTGCCGAGTCCTCTTGCAACTGAAAGGAACCATCACAATTGATTTTAACCCACCTAACTAGTGGCGCTACCTATATTTGTGCTCTGGGTTGAGTTACAGCTTCCTGACTTTGAGTCGATTGATTAAGAGCTACCCAATACTCTAGAGCATCCACCCGAACTTGCCTTAGCATCAATTATGGGTCTAGGACCTTAAAATTGAAGACAAGCCCATCGCGTACCTTCCATATATGCCATAGTAAGTAGACGATCAAAGAGAGATCAAACTCTTGCATATCTTCTGGGTGTAGCATTAAATTAGAAAACCAGTCCTCGAATGAAGTTATTGCCAATCGATCAATCCTTAGGGAGAGAGAGCTTCCAAACTGAACCCAGTGCATCCACAGGCTGAAGAGGTACTTTAATGTCCAATTTGGTAGGAGACATTGAAAATAAATGATATAAATTAGGATTGGGATTAAGAAAGCCTACTAAAAGAGGGTTTAGCACGAGAGATTGCTTGTTACGTGGAATTAGACAAAGTCTTATGCAACACCTAACTTTTTATATACTAATATGATCATTTTAACGTTTATGAATCACAAACGCCAGGTTTCCAACCTGGGAAAAAACAAGGAAATTTTTTTTTAACCTTTAGAATCTGTTAATCAAACATTTCAAACCTTTAGAATAACTGACGAGTGATCCACAGTTAACTCTACTTTCAACTTAATCTATTATCACGTAAAATGATTTCATACTGTGTAATTTTATAATATTATATTAAAATATAGCAACTATTTTGGTTGACAGCGCATACCTACACCAGATAGTGTTCTCCTCCTTATGAAGTATACAAAATAATATTTACATAAAGTAAGTAAAGTTATTTGCCCATATAACATATACAATAATACAAATATTAACTTATTAAAATATTCTGCTACATATGTACAAAATATAAAAGGCATTCTTACTTTTCAACTAGCTCATCTCTTTCTAAAAAAAACCTCCTTATCCTTCAAGCTACTAGCCGCTATTCATCATAAATGGGATGGTGAGATTCTAAAGAATCCTTGTTGTAGTAATTTCCATCAAACACATATGCAGATTACCTAAAATATGCAAAACAAGCCATACGGAACATAACCTTGCAAGCTATGCATAAAAAGCATTTAAGTGCAATGACACATAGTCAAATTGATTAGCTGAATGCGTAGTCAACGGCACATAAGGTCAGACATACAATGGCTCATAAGGCCGCATAAATAATGGCTCATAAAGCTGCGTTTGTAATGGCACATAAGGCCATGCAAATAATAGCTCATAAGGCCCCATATCTTTCAGCTGCACGGCTATTAACTCATGCAAGAAATTAAGGATTACATGTTCTCATGCTTTTAAATAACAATATGGCACAAACAGACATGTAACAATCATACATAAATGTAAGGTAGGAAAAAAACTACTACCTAGTCTGCTTCGCTCCAAATCAGACCTTACCTTCCTCCTTTCTTTCCGCTTCTTGGTAGGCTTGAGCAGATATAAAAACATATCATATTGGTAAGAGTAGATCAATATTTGATCTAACTATAATTCATCTAATATCAATTTGTATGTTTTGGTCACACATGATTTTAGCTTAAAGATCGTTATATAATATTATTTTGTTATAATTTGACCTTATATAGAAGTTATATTATCTCATAAATTTAATTGTCAACTAACACCTTCTAACTTGTTAGTTCATGCCCATGAGCTTGTCAACTGGGAGGGCATGGACAACGATGTAATTTTTCGTTTGGAATAAATGACTCTCAAGTCTTATGGGACCTTTTTATTTTAAAATTTTAAGAAATTTCAAATTAATAAATTGTGTTGTTTCAGATTTGTGTATAATTTTCCCCAAATTAATGCTTCTCGAGTTCCGCCCCATCCCCGTGCATACATGTCCTACTATTTTACTTGTTTAACTGTTCAAGTTGTCCGCTGGGAGAGTCCGAGCAACAATCCTATTTTTGTTATAACTGGTTTAGAACCTTCGCATGGTAAGGGGCAATAGAGGCACAAACTAAAAGGCATTATTAAAATTACTTTCTATCGATAGTAAAGGGTAAAGATAAATCTTGTTGGCCAAGAAAAAAAGATAAACTAAATGAAATGATGTAATCGTAAATAAGTCTTTAAGTTTAATATATCTTTAATATACTTTGCAAATATTAAAAGTGGGCAAGTCTTGAAATTTTTTTGTGTGTGTTACGTCTCATTTCCGTTATTGAATTTCTTCGATGACATGGATTAGTTAAAAAAATATGTAAATAATTACAAATTGAGCTTTTCAAAAAAAAAAAAAAAAAGGAGAGGATAGTGCATTTCTAATCAATCTAGAAACCAAGCTATGCCCCGGAATGTTACATCTTCATTTTTCCAAAGTGAAAAATTCTCCTACGTTCTTAAGGTATTCAACCGGGTAGCTTTCTCAAAGTATTGCATTAATATTGAACAGACCAAACGAAAGAGATATCAATATGTAAGTGTTATTTTTGAAATAATATTACATCACTTGATATGGAGTTCTTCCATCCTGCCACCCATACAACAAATCAATC